CAAGATACCTTCCAATTGGCTCCTACCTGATTTTGATATTTGTGTGAATCATCACTATAATATATGAATTGTAATAGGTACAATTGGAGATGTGAGGAAACTTTCCATCATTATCCTACGCATATTGAGTAAATATTGTTTTTTTTTTTTTTTTTTATAATAATTCGTAAACAGTATTGAATAAATCTTATTCTTATGTAATAGTTCTTAGAGCATCCACAGCAATGTATAATAGGGAGATAATAGTACAGTAATATGCACTTCAACTGATGGGAAGCAAAGATAATATCAAAAATAATCATTCTGCAAATGCCAAGATAATGGCAGAAAAAAGAAAGAAAGAAAAAAAAAAAAGATAAGCGCGCTTTAGCGCGTTTCGCGCAAAATGGAGAGAAAGCCGGGCGCGTGGCGTTTCGCGCAAAATGGAGAGAAAGCCGGGCGCGTGCGTTGCACGCGCCCGGAGACGCGTCAGGTGCGCCGACGCCTGACGCGTCTGTTTACATTGCTTTTTTATTTTAAAAATTTCAGTTTTTGGTTTTTTTTTTTTTTTTTTTTTTTTCTTCTCTCCCCTCCCACACTCTCTTTCCTAATCACTCTTACGTTATCCCCCAATTCTCCCCAACTGATGTGGATGCTCTTAGTTCTTAAATCACACAAAATATAAATTGTACTAGAAAGACCTTGTGTGATTGATTTGATCGAAATGACTCTTCTTACAAAATGTCATTTTTTAAAATTATATTGAATTTAAGGTTAGTTCACCAATTCAAACTAAGAAAATTAATAGCCTGATTATTAAGAATCAAATTTATAATACTAATTATTAGGTCAACATAGACAAATTTGGTTACACCTTTAATAACTTGTGAATTGATTCTACATTGGTTATGGGGTATATAAAATGTGGATGTTTAAATCACAAAACAGTACAGTATAAAATTAAGAGTCTCCTATAAACATATACTACATTGTAATAGAAATAACAATACTTAAAAAAAAAAAAAAATGAGACTCTCCATTGTAGAGAATTGCACACTTTGTGCGATCTTCCAATTATGCCCCTATGTTGTTTACTAGTAAAAGCTACGGAGTAAAAATAAAACCAACGTGCAACGTTTCGACATTTCTTCTGCAAATTCTCCGTCAATTCAGATATCTTCTTCTGGAGATTCTCCGATTGAGAGGAGGGAGGAAGATGGCGGTGAGACAGAAAGCGGTTTCGACGCTGCCGACGTTGATGCGGGCTATGCGGAAGGAGTTACCGAAGCATAACAACACGCATCAAATCCAACCATTGCCGTCACTGAGACGAGCTTTTTCTCTCTACGACCAAATCAACCTCATCGATAACGTTCCTGAAGATCAGCTCCGCTTCCAAGAGTACTTTCTCCTCTCTTCTTAACTTGTCTTTACGATTACGGATATTTATTTGTTTTTTTTTTTTTTTTCAAAAATAAAAGGTTGAATTGCTGCTACCGATTGCAGTAAGAGTTAATGTTTAACAGTTTTTATTCATGAATTAATTTTGTTATTTAAATTGATATTTCAGAGCTGCAGTAACAGCAGGCTATATTTATCGATGTCTTTTTAGCATACTGAGCTATCTCTCTTTAATCGTTTTTGGAAGTAGAACTAGGTTTGGATTTTTTTTGAAATCAATATATATTAGTGTCTAGTTCGAAGACAACACTTCATTTTAGAAATTGTATGAGGGACTTGAGGGTGTTAGTAGGTAGTGTTCTTTTCTTTGAATAATTGAATTAGTTCTTTCCCTTGAAGTTTTTGTTGATAGATGATGGCTTAGTTTATGCAGCTGCTTGATTTCTTGGAACTAATTATTTCTGTAGGTTCACTGATACTGGATTCAAAGTTAATGGGGTGCATTACGATGGTAGTTTGCTTTGTTTTGGAAACTTGTTAATGTCTTGGACTCCCAAGAAGTTTTCCCAAGTTACTCCCGAGAGGTACTCACTCATCTTGACTCTTCATTCGTGATGGGTTCTATCTTACTGAAGTTTGGTTACTGATCATAATGTAAATGTAAAAACAACTTTGATTCATATCTAATGTTTGAAGATATCTAGTCATAATTTTTAATGGAGTTATGAATAAGGTGTTTGGATTTAGACAGCTAGTTTGTTTGATTCATATTCTAGTGTTTTTGAGATATCTAATGATAATTTTTTATGTAATCACGAAAAAGGATTTCAGATTTAGCAAGCTATTTGCTTTGTTTGTTTCTTTAGGCGATTGTTGAACCTTGTTAAAATATGAGTTAGAATAGACCCCAAGAGTTTTGTTGAGTGTCTGTGGATTGGAATCCAGCTTTAATAACTATTGGCAAATGGAAGTATGTGACCCTCTTTATTAAGATCTTCCAACTTGTTAGTATCTATAGTTTCCTATTTTACTGAGCTGGTTCTGTGGTGGTATCTGATCCTTATATGTCTTGATGCAGCTTATCCATCTTCCAAACCGTGCGCCCTGTGCCAGGTAAGCAGCCTGTTTGTTAGCTAAGTTTATCATACTCACTTTGAAGCAGTGAATCTGATAAGCTTGCATTTAGCTACTTTGCATAATCTTATCGATCAACATAACAAATTTCTGGAAGAAATTATGTCATTGATGCCACACATGTGCCTAATATTAAAAGTTGGTAATCATTTTCATTTCTTATTGAGACAGTTTGGATTAAAGTAAGGGTGTGTTTGGTTGGTGGGTTTTGCACATAGGAATGAGTATGAAAGTGATTGTTGTTGTTTGGTTGATAGATTTTTAGAACACTACTATGGGTTTCGAATACCCCATCAATTGAAAAACCCATACCCAAATACAATAAGGGTTCCATTTCCCTTATTCATTCTCAAGCACTACTATTAGTAACCATTCCCATTCCACCCTACTACCAAACATGTTAAATACTTTCACCAAAACCCATTACCATTACCATTACCAAATATTTGATACCCATTCCGATTCCAATTCCTATGTGCGAACCAAACACACCCTAATTTTTATCACTTAACAAGCTGATTTGGATTCTTTTTTCACTATTGGTCTTTTGAGGGCATAGTAGTTGTGCTAGAATGATCAGTTTGAGCATCAAAAGTCTTGCTTTATGTTGTTGTATACTATTGCTATTTTTTGCTTTTGTGATTTGAAAATTGAGATACCACTCCTGTATTTAGAAATCCTCGTTCTTGGTTGTGGGAGGCACATTCAACAAGTAAACCCCGAGGTTCGACGGTTCATTCGTTCCACTGGAATGAAATTAGAGGCAGTGGACTCGGTAAATATTCTGGATATGAATTGTGTGTTCTATGCAATGTGTTCAATTTCTTCACCAATTTTAAGAAGGCAGCTGAAACACATCATCTTCTTTGATTGCAGAGAAATGCAGCATCTACTTACAACATTCTAAACGAAGAAGGCAGGATCATTGCTGCTGCACTGCTCCCATTTGGAGTCGAATCTTAACCTCCTGTTGGTATATGCTTTTCCTTTGTCTTTTCCCTGGGCTGGGGTTTTGAACACTCACTCTAATAGCAAGTTTCTCCAAGTAGGTTTTGAGTTTTACAGCGGGAAATCATATGGCTATGCTTGTCACATCTTTGGTAAAGGATTTTCTAATCCAGTGTTGAATAAGAAACTTTTGCAATGATGCCATCCTTTCATTGGTTCAGTACACTTGATAGCATTTTTTATGAACAAGAGTTGTACTTTTTACTGCTGTCTTAACTGTTAAATGTTAATTAACATATTCTTGCTAGTAGAGATTATGTACTTGTTTGAGGTTGGGTTATGAAGATCCTCCCTGCTTCTGCATCTTCTTCAACTAGTCTGATGGGAGTCTGCATTACTCTGCAATGGCATTTGAACACCCCATAGTTGCAGTCTTTCTGTGGACCTTGCCACTACAAGTGTATATGTAACCTTGCTAGCACAAGGGTCGGGAAAAGACCATAAGGAGATAAGCCAGCTTAGGTTGCTCATAGCAATCCGACTCAAATTAAAAAGACTAATAGGCAGCTCTCACATGAGTTGAAACTTATTCTTGTTTTATATGTATTCATTAGTCAATTTAAGTTATCATTAATCTATAATAAAGTGACTGTTAGATTGAGATAGTGTCAAAAGCTATTATACTTTGAAGTTTGAAGAATAAAATGTAATGTTGAGTTTCTTCCGAGATCGCTAATTTTTATCATGAATTGTTGTCATAGCATACTCCAATCAACTATTATACAAATATCATTTATTTTTTTGGCTAGACTACAAGGTAATTTTAACTATAGGAGACACTTTTAAGATTAATTTAGATTAATCCTTATTTGCACTTGAACAGTCTAATTAAGGGTTAATGTTAGTTATATTGATTTTTCCATACGAGAGGGAGTTTGAACTCTCAACTTCTCTTGGATGAAAGTACACGATCACTTACAAGTTACACTAACCAAACTGGTTACACAAATGCCGTTTAAATCGCAGCAAAAGGTGTTCCTCTTTTCATTCTCTAGTACCTAGAAGTATTGTCGGAAAATCAAGAAACTACCTGGCCTTGTACATTTGTAATTGTGACAATAATGACTCCCTTTGTAGTTTCTATGTGCACTCTTATATGACCCAATATGTCCATAACTATAGGAACTTCTTTTTAGTGTAAGAAAATAAAATAAATTAATTTGTTTTGTATTACTTTCAAATAAATTTATAACAAAATTTTAATAATTTTTATACAACAATATCTATTTTATTTCTATACTCTGACGTATAATTTTAGTTTCATCATTTTTCTTGGAAAGTATTTATAAATTTTAAATTAAACTTTTTATGCCTAAAATATACTCCGTTCTAAATATATGAATTGTATTTACTAAAATTAATCATAAAAATTGAATTGGAAAGAAGGCGCCAAACCAGCGAAAATATCTCCTTGTTCGTTATGGGTAGTTACGAAGTATTACTTATTACAGTGTAACTGTGTAAGAAAGTCTTACTACAAACCCCCAAACACCTAGTCTTCTCTGTAGGAAAACTCCAGAATCAATGGCGTCTCTGCGATTACCTGCAAGTTGCATACTGAACCGCAAACTCTCCGCAGCGAAATCTTCGATCGTAAGCGTTTCTCTCTTTCTTTTGTGGTTACCGTTTACCTCATTCCCAGTGTGCTTATGTATGGATATACGTGTGTATGTTTGCATATCTTCTTGCGTTTATGGATTCATAACAGTTTGCAATCTGCAAATTCACATGCAATTGTGTTTACGCGTAAATTTTGAATTATGTTCTGGAATTTCGCTGTGGCAGAGGTGTAATGCAGAGCAATTCAATGGATGGGCAGGCGCGCCTAGCCTGGCTGACAGTGTTCGTATTCAGAAGCTTCTGACCTCCCTGACTTCCGATCAGCTCCAGAGACTTATTGTTCAGCAGAAACAGAAAGACAGGCTCCGGATTTTTTCTGGGACGGCTAATCGTGCACTTGCTCAGGTTCTTCGATCATCCAAATTGACTGTTACAAATGCATCCATATTCTACAGAAATGTTTGTCTATAAAAATTTTTACGCACTTTCTCAGGTTCTTCGATCATCCAAATTGACTGTTAGAAATGCATCCATATTCTACAGAAATGTTTGTCTATATCATTTTTTATATGCACTTTCTAGAATGAGGGGGTGCCTCCATGGATGACATGCAATCACTTTGTAAAGAGAATCAAGAAAGGGAAGAAAGAAATTACTTAAATGCAAAATGGTTAAGATAAAATTGGAATGTAAATGATGTGTAGGTTTAATAATGGCCGCGATTCTTTATCTAGGACTGCTCAGGAATAAGGGAAGGGGAAATTAGGAGCTAATTTCTGAAATAATGACTTTTAAGTATAATGACAATGAGAAGCCCAGCTCCCTGCTTTTTTCCTTCCTTTTAGTTTAGTCTTGAATTCTGACTAGCTGCTGGAAGTTCTTGACTGATATAAATTTACTTCTACAGCAGATTGAATCCATCACTGATAAAATACTGCATTTAATGTGTATGTGTACCAGTGCAATTACTGATAAAACACTACATTTATGACAGGGAATTGCGACTTACATGGGTTTACAACTTGGAAGAGTCCTGATAAAACGTTTTGCTGATGGTGAAATTTATGTTCAGTTCCAAGAAAGCATCAGAGGTTGTGATGTATGTCTTGTTCAACCTTCTTGCCCTCCTGCAAATGAAAATCTTATGGAGCTTCTGATAATGATTGATGCTAGTCGAAGGGCCTCTGCAAAAAGTATTACTGCAGTAATTCCTTACTTTGGCTATGGCCGAGCTGATAAGGTAACATTGTACCATATATTTTTGTATTCCCATGTCCAGACATAGCACAAATTAAAATTATTCCTTGAAACCAAGCTGAGATGGTAACAATTGTAGATACTTTATAGGGTAGCTCACCAGTTGGTCACAGTTACAATTAGGATATGCAATTGGAGGTGCTGCTTTTGGAGTTTTATGGATTGTCTGTCTTAGAATCTACAATTCTACATGACTAGAGGGCAGGCAATGCATTTGTTATTCAGAGTTTAAGTTTACAACTTTAAATATGTTTGACCCTTGAAAAAAATGCATTATGAAATGAATAATTGAACATCTGGCACATAGATCTGCTCACTGTAAATACCTAAAAAGAACTAATTCCACTTTTGGTTGCATGACTATATAGTAGAATTTTCACATTTCGTCCTCAACTATCAATTTGATTGAATTTAAGATTCGATTTTTTCTAACTGGCCGCTTTTAAACCAAAATGTCTAAAATGCCCGCACTTTCACCAAACTCCACACTTAGATACTCTTGTCATTCTGAAAATTGCTCCTTTTCAGACTGAAGGTCATGATTCCATTGCAGCCAAACTCGTAGCAAATCTGATTACTGAAGCTGGTGCGGATAGAGTTCTTGCTTGTGATATTCATTCTGGACAGTGCATTGGCTATTTTGACATTCCAGTGGACAATGTATATGGTCAGGTATACTATAATTATAGTTTGAGTATTCTCAATGATGTTTAATTTAAATCATAAATCAAAGCCTTAGACACACAAGATCTTCATTGAAAAAAGAAATGTATTAAAGCTTTTTATGCTTATTCTTTTATTATTTTAAGGACTTATTTTTGTTAAATTGTAATGAGATGATATTATTATTAAATTTGTAATCTGATAATACTTTAATGTTTTTATGCTTATTTGGTTTCTTTACTCTTTGGTATGCGAGTGTAGGCTGTCATGGTTGATTATCTTGTTAGCAAGTCTATCCATTCTGATGATTTAGTTGTGGTCTCACCGGATATTGGTGGGATTGCAAGAGCAAGAGCTTTTGCCAAAAGATTGTCAGGTGCATCTCTAGCAATTGTGGATAAGAGGAGCAATGGACACAATGTTGCTGAGGTAAATTTTGCCAACATTAAAAAGGATAAGAGCTTCTTTACCTCTGCATTTTATCTTTCATTTGATCATTTCTTTTTCATATTTTCTGGTGGCATTTGTCCCCATTCTCCTTTCATTTTCTGGTTGTTTACAGATGTGACCATTGTGATCCTGCAGGTATTGAATTTGATTGGTGACGTAAAGGGGAAAGTAGCAGTTATAGTTGATGATATGATTGATACTGCCAGTTAGTATTTTGCCTTCTTGCTCAAATTCTACGATGTTTCTACCCCACAGATGGCCCCTACTTACTCTGTCCATTTATTAGTATGTGGAAGTTATTGATTCAACCTTTTTTCATCTACAGCTGCAATGTGTGATGGAGCCACTCTGCTACATCAAGAGGGGGCCCGAGAGGTTTATGCATGCACTACTCATGCTATTCTCAGGTACTTAGTTTGTAAGTAATGGTGTATAGTCAGCCGTATATTAGAAGGCTGTCCTTTAGTTGTGTGCAATGTTAAAGCGTTTACTTTTAGGTCATCTTCTTATTGCTAAACTGTTTTTACAGTGCTCCTGCAAAAGAGAGGTTGTCAAATGGACTCTTTAAAGAGGTCATCATCACAGACACCGTTCCTATTTCAGAAGAGAATTTTTTCCCCCAGCTTACAATATTATCTGTGGCAAATATCCTGGGTGAAACCATATGGCGTGTCCACAGCGACGATAAATCTGTAAGTATATGGTTTCTTCCTCTGTAAATGTACCAGTAAAAGTTTGATCTACCCCAAAACATAAAGGACTATTTGAGGGCATCCCTCTCCCACCATATCTCTATATACACCTGACTGACAATCAACAATGTCTTACTTTCTTCATTTAGATTCTTTTTCTTGAGAAGCAAAACCTATATTCATGTTTCTCATTCTTGCAATTTCAGGGTGGCTCTGGGCCTTCCTCAACCTTGGGTATTGACTGATTTGGTCCTCAACTCTTCGTTCCTGCTTAATTGCTATAGTACGAAGCCGAATATCAACATTTTACCAGAACTCAAGTGAGCTCCTCTCTCCTTTAATTTTCTTGTAGAAATCTCATGTGCAGAATGTATAGAATTCATACACAGAAACTGTAAAAGCCGATATGGTTGTAGTTGAGACAATGTACTGTGGGAGGCTTTCCCCTTATACTACAGAAATATCATTCATTCCAGACACTTATACTGAAACTGCTTGTTCTTACATTCCTAGAACTACTACTACTACTATCAATACGAATTACTACAAGCATTCTTCTTCATCATTTACAAGCAAATCATCTGCACTTATTATCCGTCTTCTTCTATCACCTATTGTGCCACGCTCATTATCAGCGGATTGTCTATGCATTAACCCGAATCCCATTATATAGCGATACTCCCCTGTCCCGAGGCAGCGAGAACAGTGGTTCTTCCCACTTCCACGACAAGTCCTACACCATTTTGGCCACTTTCCTTTCGGAAGCATCTCCATATCCACATAATTTGTCCTTCCTGTATGTTAGTTAATACACCAACTAATAACTCATCAACATAATCACAAAAATATACGGAGTATTAGTTTTGAATGCAAAAAATAGTCGGAGGAGACCTCTTCCATTACAATCGTAGCACTCCACTCTCCCATTCCCTCTGCAGACTACGCAAGGAGGATCCGGCTTCTGTCTTCGTTCTCTTCGAATATTTGACTGCAATCAGTAGTGACATTATAGCGAAGCAATAAAACCACAGCTTGAAGATGATGCTTAAGCTACGCTTAATAAATCGGAGCTCTAAGCTTAATTTAACACGAAATTTAGAGAGATGTGATTTGGGAAGGAGTTTACCTCTGTTCTGACGATCCACGAAGGCTTGGAAACCGAGAGAAGGGGAGCTGGGCTTGCTGCGTTCCGATCGTGTGGAGAAGGTCTAGTGCCGTTGTCTGAGCTGCTGCCGGATTCCAATCGCACGGCGCTGAGTGAAAACCTTGTGCCTGCTCTTATCGCTTCCATATTCTGCGGTGAACTTCGCCGGCGCCGCTGTTTGTCGCTTCCCGTGACTTCAGCCGTGGATAAGGAATATGTTTAGGGGCGTGGATTTTATTCCTTCATTAATAAAAAGGGAGACGATGATTCAGAGTCAAAATTCAAAAGTTCAGAGCAAGGTACAATTGCCCTAGCGCAAAGTACCATTGACGAAAGCGAAACGCACAATTAGCTTCGCTGGTTCTGGATTCACCGCATGATCTCTCTTTGAGGTAAACCTCACTCTTTCTGCTTCTCCAGAAACTTGCTTTGCTACTTGTTTATGCTTGTCTTTAAACAAAAATCAACTTTAAATTTACACTTAGATAGCTACATTAGTCTCTATGAATATTATGCATCAATGCACCATTCTACAGTGTAGACATAGTTGAAGCCTTGAAGGTGTTCAATTATTTAAAAAACATCACTGAATTCAATCTCTTGGTAGTTGGTACACATAATAGCTAAAGAATTCTGATTATATGTTAAAGAACTTAATGCCAAGGGTATTAAAATATTAATCATTTCATAGTATTTGAATTCTATGAATACTCTCCTTAGTACAAAACTTATTTGGAACATTGAGCTGAACTTAAGAATATACATTCTCTCATTTGCTTATCTACTGGCAAAATTCAGAGACATATTTGCACGGCCTCCCCTGTTGCAACATATGTAGTGTTGCTACTTCCATTATGGTTTTGTCATGGGACTGACCCCCCAAAACATAATTTAGAGAAATTTGGGAACACAGCTAAGCTGTTAAACTTTTTGATCTTATAGAGTACTCCTTTATCAGTTTTGAGAAGAAAGAATCCTCCCGTTCCAGTAGCTTTGTTGGTGAGTCAAATTCTGCTACTCTACCTGTTGAAGGGATGATAGTAAATATCAACAAAGAGTAAGTAGAATGCTTATTACATAGGGGTAGAAGCCTTTACCTTCACTGAGGACCAGGACAAGATCACTATCTATGACCGTGTGGATTCTGTGAGCTATAGTGACCACAGTCCGGTTTTTGAACTCTTGACTGATTATTTTTTGAATCACTGCATCAGTTGCTGCATCGACCGATGCTGTTGCTTCATCCAGAACTAGGATGCTGCTCTTTTTTAACAAGGCTCTTCCAAGACAGAACAGCTGCCTTTGGCCCACACTCCAGTTCTCTCCGTTTTCAACCACTGTCAAAATCATACAAATAACCCTTAGTGGAACTTGAAAGTAGAATTCTTGCTTTCAATTGCAACCATTAAAATCAACACTCCTAGTGGCCATATGGAAGAGTCTAACCTGTAGATTCCAGCTTTTCAGGCTTTGCACGTATGATATCACCTAGTTGGCATTTGTCCAGAGCCTAAAAATATTTTATGATAATGAGATACTTTAACTGATTATTTGAACTATTTCTTGAAGTAAATGCAGCTAATGTGGTAAAAAATAGCCAGCACATATGATCCTAATCGGTTTGTCTGGGTTCAAGTTTTAAGAGTAGGCACCATGATAGGGTCTGATGATTACCTCCCAGATTTGAGTGTCAGAATGTTGTTCTAATGGATCTAGGTTTCCTCTAACTGTTCCCTCAAACAGTGTAGGATCTTGGGGAATGATGCTAAGTCTTGACCTCAAGTCATGAAGGCCTATCTTGCATATATCCACATCATCAATGATAATGCTTCCTTCTCTGGGCTCTACAATCCGGAAAATGGCCTGAATGAGGGTCGATTTACCACTTCCAGTCCTTCCAACAACACCAATTTTCTTACTCCCTGGAAAGGTGCAGGTAATATGTTTCAACACGGAAGGGAGATGCTCAGCATAGCGTATCTGCAGAGAATGAACATATTTGATATTAAAATATGGATAAATAACATTTTCTCTTTCATTTTCTTCATGAGTGGTACCTAAAGGAAGCTCGACAATAATGAATCTACCTGCAAATTCTGGAAAGAAATTGATCCAGTATCTGGCCAGTTATCAGGTGGTCGGCAATCTTCAATCAGCATAGGCGCTTCACTGGCTAGATTTGAGTACTGGAGGATCCTCTCTACAGATATCATTTTATTTTCTGCATTGCAAATATTCCATATAACTGAAGCTTGTAACACATTCAAGTTTATGCCATATGTTACTGCCAATCCTGCAATGCCTGTAGAATATGAAGTAGAGTGAGTTCATGTCCATTATTCAGTATATATATATATATATATATATATATATATATATATATATATATATATATATATATATATATATATATGGGTATTTGCTAGAGAACTTGAAGTATTTTGGGCATATCTATCACACAGATCTAGCTCCAATATCCTTTTCACACATTCACATTTTTAGGGCTAAAAATGCACTTGAAGCTGCCATTTCTGTAAGTACTATACTTATGGAGTAATATATTTATGTACTTACTTGGATCTATAATTCCTTCAGGAAGTGTAACGAGCAAAACCAGAGAGAAAGCAAAGACAAAATTAGAAAGCTGATTCAGTCTGAAAGAAAGCCATTCCATAGCTGAAACATTGTGAAACCATGGCCTTGAGTGGTTGTCAATGAGACAAAGGTTAGCATCAACAAAGCGGGGGTTTTGGTTAAAAGCACGGATTGTTGCTGCTCCCGAGAGTGATTCTGCAAAGTGGTGAAGAATTGGAGCTCTTTCTACTCCTGCTAAACGAGCCAATTCCCTTGCAGTAGGTATGTAGTATTGCTGCCATTTTTTTCAATAGTTGTAGCATTAGTATAAAATTGCACAAGGATTGCAAATGACTTTTTGGAATCCAAAAACACTACATATCAAATAAGCCATCATATTCCTTTGAAATTTGCATTTCTGCTTCATTTCTTTTAAATTTTTTTGGTCAGACCACGAGGTGTTCTGAGCAGGCCCTAACTGTAGGAGGCACCTTTAAGCCTGTAACATACTCAGACTAATCCCCGGTTCAGACAATGCCTAGATAAAGCACACAAATCAATTCCTTGCAGAGTTGCAGAGATCTACCGTCTATTTTCAATTTTTCATTAGTAAGCACTGATAGAAATCTCACCTGATACCAGACACAGACGGCTGTTACTGGAATGAAGATGGCAAATACTTCCCATGCCACCTGTGACATGACGGCAACTGTCCCAAGAAGCTGAATTACTGAGAAAGCACACCAACCTAATTTGGTAGCCATCTCCAAGTCAAGCACACTCTGGTCTGTGGATGCCTGTTCATATAATAATAATCAGACTGTATGAGCTTACATTAATTTGATAAAATAAGTTACAAAAGTAAACTTATCAACTCCATATCTAAGTGAAACCCTGTGAGGTTGTAAACATAACATGTTTCCCAGTAATAATTAGTATATGTTGTTACTCTCATTTTTTATCATTAAATGAGTTTTTTCTTGAATTATTAACTTGGAGCTGATGTTATTAAGAAATATATATATTTCTCACCCGATTTAAAATTCTTCCAGTTGGAGTAGAATCAAAGAATGCCATAGGTGCACGAAGCATACTGTGCAGCATGTTTCTGAAGAGCTTTTCTGCTGTCCGAAGGCCTGTTATAGCCACTAGTGTAGAACGGAGTAGCACACAAAGTGCACTTCCAACCGAAAGAATTATATAAATGGATAATATGAATTTCATTTTTGCAGCTATGGGATCTTCATCGCCTGTAGGACAAGACCATGCCATCCAATAGTTACTTGCCACCTGTAGGCCTTGGAAAGAAGATTGGGCTAGAAGGATTACTGGAACAAAAGCACCACGCTTCACAATAGTCAAGTAAGACAAATAAACTTCCTTTCCTATGCTTCCTTTTTCTCTTTCTTCCTCCTGCACCAGTTTTCCATCCTTCTCTGTTATCTCAATGTTGAGATTATGTTCTGAATCCTGTTTAATATATGGAAATTCTGCATCTACGTTAGTATCAGTGTCAAATTCACTATTTGTGGTTGCATTTTCGGATGGTCTGCTTGAGTTTTCTACTGCTAAGATTGACTCTAGAGCTTGGTTGTGAGCTCCGACTAGAGCTTCAAATCCAATGTTATGCTTTAGAAGTTCTTCAAATTTACCAGCCTGTGCAATTCTGCCATTTTGCATGACCTGTTCAGATTTATCAGTTAGAATTTTCAAAATGTTGGTCTAAATTCTAATATCTCAAGAAGCATTCTTCTAAAACACAAAATTGAAAATATGAATCATTCCTAGGTTTTAGAGGTTACATCAAAGTACTGAATAAATTGTTTTGTACATACCAGAATGAGATCAGCTGCAGGAAGAAATTCAACTTGGTGAGTGACATAAATTATGGTCTTGTTGTTGAGAAACCCCATCAAGCATTCCTGCAATGTCCACAAAATGTAAATTTAAGTCATTGAACTACCTTAGTGTTATCCATTGTAGGAGAATATTGATACCCAACCTTCATATCACTCAATATAACTACTCACCTTAAAGAGATGTGTGCCTGTATGAGCATCCACAGCACTAAAGGGGTCATCGAGCAGATATATGTCAGCATCCTGGTAAACAGCACGAGCAATTTGTATTCTTTGCTTCTGTCCCCCGCTCATATTTATCCCTCTTTCTCCGATTTCAGTAAGGTCACCAGCAGAGAATAGCTCAAAATCCTTCTTGAGGGCACATGATTCTACTGTTCTCTCATACTTGTCTCTGTCATAGGATTTGCCGAAAAGAATGTTTTCTCTAATATTTCCTGTTAGTATCCAGGGAGACTGAGGAACATAAGCCATTGTTCCACTAATCTTGATATTCCCTGATAACTTTGGCATTTCTCCTAGGATGCAGGAAAGCAGACTGGATTTCCCTGATCCAACAGTGCCACAAACTGCCACTTTCATTCCCCTGTTCACTTGTAATTGTATTCTGTCAAGCGTTGGGTTTCCTAATTCTGCATTCCAGCTGAATGTCCCACTATTGATCTCGATTCCAAATTCTGTTGTGTGTTTTGGAACAAATTCAACTGCATCATGTGGAATCTCATCTTCTTGCAGGTAAGCAGCAATTCTATCAGCAGACACTTTTCCCTGTGCAATCACGGAGAGTAAATCGGGCAAATTGAATATAGGATCTTGAAGCATCCGGAATGTAGCAAGCGCAGACAGGACTCTCCCGGCTGTGAGTGGAATCCCCATTATGACGCACCCAACAAAAGTTGCAACAGAAATAAACGTTGGGGATCCCCAAAAGATAAAAGCTGTTAGTGCTGACAATCTCAGTGATTTCCAGAGCCAACTATGCTCGATTTTTCTTAAACTCTCAAGCTTCTGAAGAAAGAAATTGTCCCATGCCTGAAGCTTGATTGTTTTCATGTTTCGAAGAACTTCTGCGGTGGATTTCATCCTTTCATCCTTGGATTCCATGATGTTTGTTTGATACCCCTTCTGAATCTTAGTCACAGGTATGTTGATAGTCATCACTACCAGTGTTGCAGCTAATGCCACCAGTGAGCCCATTCCCAGATTCATATGCAGAATATAGATTGCTAATGATATTTGGATCGGCAGCATCCAGATTATGTTAAGGTACCACATGAAATCTGTAATTCTCTGAACATCAACACTCATTAAATTGATAATCTCCCCACTGGTGTGACTTTGGCGCGATTGGCTTGACAGGACAAGTCCCTTTTGGTATATCTGAGATATAAGAGCTGCTCTTAGCCGAAGGCCTAGCTGACGAGCTCCAAATATCCACTGCCTTTGAGCTACAGTCTCGACCATCTTGGCACCAAGAAAACCCAATGCCAGAAGATATCCACTCTGTAAGCTCCGGGATTTCTTTTCAGCAAGGAAAGTCACAAAGTCGTCGATGAGGTATGGCCCAACATAAGATGTCGATGCACTAATAACTGCAAACAAAGCGTTGATCGCTGCCTTTTTCCTTCCGAATACATAAATAGCCTTATAGATAGATGGGTTTTCCATCATCCCATCCCTTTCCTTTACATATTTCAGGCTTTCATCGAAGGAACTCGATAGAAAAGCAGCAGAGTCCCCGATGTAAACATCAGGAACTTCATCCTGGTCGAGTGGTTTCTTTTTCCCTACTTCAAAGAGCGGATTGAGCCAAGAGAAGGTGACTAACTGAACAAGAGTAGCTTTTCCATACGGACTGTCCCTTCTGCCATCTGAAGAATACTTTTCACCGAGAAGGGGTTCTGTGATGCCTTCATTTGAGCTGTCAAGAGCTGTGCCGGTCTTCCCTTGAATTGAAATACCTAGTAAGCAGGCAGATACTATAAGACCAACAATATCAGCATATTCATGCAGCCCGAGTGACCCATGATTCGTAATCAACGAATGAGCATTCATAGTTGCACGAGCCAAAGACAACAAGAAGCTGGAAATCCACCACATTCTCAGGATCCAAGGTAACTTCACATTTTTCCTGCTTCTATATAGTAGAACCAATGTGACTGCCCATGATATTACTTGCAAAATCTCTGCTGAAAGAACCGGGACTCTGGATTTGCAGTGAGCCTCCGTCTTGTTCTCTGGCACCGATAATAGTACTAGATGAGCGACCAGTGACAACGTGGAACAAACAAGGCTGCACTTGTAGGAGAGGCCAAGTTTTAGTTTTACACCAGCAGGGCTCTTCTCTACTGTTATTGAGGCCTTCTTTCCTCCTTTCCATTGTGACAGAATAAAGGTCCTTAGCATATGCAGCAGTATGAATCCAAGGAAACCAAATTGCACAAAAATGCTGGTATCCTCCCACAAACATGGGGATATCTGTGGTGGCCATGCAATTCTTAGTTGGACCTGCTTCAAATCTGCCATGCATCAAATCAAGATATCATCAATATTATGGCCGTAACCTGAAAGTAAGAACTTCTCCCACAACTTTGTGATCAATTCTTGTTTGTTTGAGTGACGAGGGAAGCTTGCAGCCTGTTAGGATCAAGCGCTTACCACTCATGAGTCACGCCAAAAGCTATAGCTAGTAGCAAAGACTGCCATCACATTGTTCGAGATAGGTTGGGTGCTGGACTTGGCCCTTAGGGGTAAAACCGGCCTTCGTCCAACAATCCCTCAGCCACCAGATACTAGACATGGTCCCTTTACTGGCCCTGCCCAACACAGCCATTACCCGAGGGTGATAAACTCCGCCTTGTGACCCTAGTCGGTAAACGACTACAATACCGACAACAAAGGTAACTGACCGGCTCAAACCAAGTAAGCCAATAGCCTTCTGGGAGTCAAACTTGTAACTTATGGTTACCAAATCAACAGTCTAACAAGACTTGGGTGGGATTACCCTTCTTTCTTTAGTGATACATATGTAAGTGTAAGGGTGATGTAATAAATAAGATACAATATACACACACACACACACACACACATATATATATATATATATATATATATATGATCAAATTTTGATGAGTGCATGTTATTTTAAACTTTGGTGTCATCAGCCAATTAACAGGCAACAGTACCAAGGCATGCATGCATGGTTGATGAGATTTCGAATCTTGGGAATGTTTTACCAGATCTGGAATTCAAACAAAGGACTCCTACGGGATCTTATCCGATCCTCAGCTGCCAGGTTTTGTCTGCTAACTTACAATGTTCCTCCGAATCTACTTTTCACTCCTCTCTCTCTCTCTCTCTCTCTCATCTCTCATCTTTCTATTTCTTCCATTTGCATCACTTTTTCTTTATCACTGATTGAGTATATTAACCACACTGTCTGTAGAAATCACATACCCTTTTGCTATTTTTTTTTTTTAAAGGCCTCTTATAATTCATTGTATTTGACAAGGTTAATAATCTCAGCACTACTGAAATTACGCTTTTGTCCTTTTTAAAACACTACACGTAATTTCATTCATTTGGAGAGCGTAACTACCTCATATTAACTAAGTCGGGTTAAAAACCTGGTATTGGAAAATCTGGTTCTTGTTCACTAAGAGAATATTCCACCTTAATCATTCATTCATCATAGGTTTCATCTACCACTAACGTCATGAATCTTGTGTTTGTTTCAGTTTACCCGCTTTGATTTACGAGAAAATTTCCAGTTGACTGGCTCAAACTTAGAAAGCCACAAGGAATTTGATTATCAAATCGACCAACTCGGTTGAGTTTGCCCTACGATAGTCGGGTTTTGGCTGAATCTAAGCCAGGCTATTGCAAGTTGGAATTTGGCTCCACACAAATTGTAGTGAAATTATTAATATGGTGTCAAAAAGGCGAATATACGCCTCATGCACCACCCAAACAAAACCAAATGATATTCAAGTTAAAATTGCAGAAGAGTCCATCATATACGACATCAAGCTAAGGCCAAAATATAATAATATTATAAATTTTTGGTTCCTGGAAGCTCTATGAAGTGTGTGTATATATGTATATGTATATTTATTAGAATTTATAACAACTAATTAAGGTAGTACAGATATATAGGTATGTAGATTGAATGTTATTAGTATATGGGGTAGAGACTGTGTGCATGTCTGAAGTTAATAATAATGCATTCCAGAAAACATTAATCTTGTCGAAAGACAAAGAGTATAATAGAGTTTAATTACTTAGTATATATACGAGGTAAATCAAGAAATTAGTATGTACAGGCCGGGGGTTTGGACTAAGAAGAAATTAAAGAAGAGAGATAGAGGGCGGCTTACTTGTAGCGTTGAAGAAGATGGACATGGTTTCCTCTTCAGCTCAACTGTGTCTGCTAAGAGTCTCTCCACTCTGGGGAGAGATGTTTCCTTCCTGTAGTGGACAGGTTTTTACAAAAACAACCAATCAAACCTATATATATATATATATATATATATATATATATATATATATATATATATATGTGTGTGTGTGTGTGTGTGTGTGTGTGTGTGTGTGTGTGTGTGAGTGAGTGTGGAAGATTGGTTAAGGTTGCTAGGGGATTTGGTTTAAATATTGAAATTGGAATCCTAATTGAAATTAAATATTTGATAATTATAATGAGTTTTATTAGAAAATGTCTCTTTATTTGGTAAAATTTGGAATTGGACTCTAATTAATTAATTATCCATACATATATATATATATATATATAATAAAAATAAAATAACAGCCAATGTTGGTAAGATTATAATGAGAATAAAAATTATGTTAGTTTTTATTTTTTATTTTTAAGTGAAAGCTATTAAAAACAAAAAAGAATGAAAGTCATTATTTTTTGAATCTTCATCCTAAAAAAATATGAATGTCATATTATAATTATTCTACAAATACATTGTTTTCTTTTTGCTTAAATCAAATCTTATTTGTTGTATGTAGCATAAATTTAATTTCATATTCTAAATTTATATTGCTTTATTTAAAATGTACATTTTATTAGGGGTGAGCATAATTACCGAAAAATCGACAAAATTGATAATCGAACCCCGAACCGACAGATAATTTTGATTACCGGTTATAAGCCTTAAAAAAATCGATTATTCGGTTATGAAGGTGTAATAACCGCGGCCACCGAATAGCCGACACTATTTTATATATATATATATATATATATATATATATATATATATATATATATATATATATGCTACTGTACGCATATATACAGTAACTGTATATATATAATATTATAATATGTTAGTAAGTTTATCTACTTACACGTACTGTAAATATGCGTACATTAACTAATATATATATATATATATATATATATATATATATATATATATATATATATATATATATATATATATATATATTAGTATTTTTTTATGCGCGATGCGCAAAAAATAAGTGCCCAATATTAATACATTATATTAAAATTTTAAATTTATTTAGATTTTAGATATTTAAATTATTCTAAACAATAATAATAATAATAATAATAATAATAATAATATAAATTATTTTTATAAATTTGATATTTATATTTTATGTAATAATTAACATATAACTCAAATATATAATGTTTATATATTATTATTAATGAAGAAGATAAGAAAATATATGGTGGATGCATGTGCATGGTAACAATAGTGGAAAAGATAACGGAAGTTATAACAGTAGGGGTATGTTTGTCCAAAATATTTTAATGTACAACCTTTATAGCATTATGTACAAAAAAACTTAACGTAAAAAACGGACATAAAACAAGGGTATAACTTTCATTCACACTTATTATGTTTTTAGATATATATATATATATATATATATATATATATATATATATATATATATATATATATATAAATATTACTTGTGAATGTTCGGTTATTCGGTTAATTAAATAACCGACCGATATCGATATAATCGGTTTTGGTCGGTTTCGGTAAGTTATGGAGATTTAAAAAAATGCTATCGGTTATCGGTCGGTTATTAACCGTAACCGACTGATGCTTACCCTTACATTTTATTACTAGTTGATCTATTATGTATGAGACAAAAAAAATTTCTACTTTTAAAAATTTAAATGAAAAATTTCATAATCGAATCAATCTTATAGGGAAAATTTTTAATATTTTAAAATATCAATGTGAGTTTACAAGATGAATAGTTCACATATAATAACAATTGAGGTCTCAATCATGTACCCAAGGAAAACTCATGAAATCGTATGTTATAACTTTATTTCATAACTCTTTAATTATTTTTCAACAACATCAGTAAACCGGTCTATTATAATCATGTCACTTTTAATTAAAAAATAATTACTACTCATTAATATTGCATTAAGAAGACTTATTTTGATTATATTGAAAATAATTAATCATTTTATTTTATATTAATTAACTTTGATATTTAAAAATTGTACTAAGTATTTACTTATTTAATTTTTCGTGTTGGATATTAATTTAATTGTGCAATGTGTGTGTGTGGATTGAAGTTCCATATATTTTTTTTTAATTTGGAGTGACGAAGAAAACCCACAACTATTACACGAGACTGGATAAATCTCGTCTTGTGACCTTAGTCGGCAAAGGACCACAAGGAGGTAAACCAGCCTAAGGCCAGTAGGCTGCTCCACCTAGAAGTTGAACTTGTAATCAATCTTGTGGTTACTAAATCAACAATCTGATCAACACGGTTGTGTTGTCACCTATTAAAATTTCATATTGAATGTATGGACAATGACCTTATTATTATTATTATTATTATTATTATTATTATTATTATTATTATTATTTTCTTCCTCATTTTGGCTTCATTGTTCAAAAGTAGGCAAAAATATATATATATAATAATCAATATCAAATTCGATGGGTACAAAATCCTCACACTATCATATCCTATAGTGTGGATCATTTTATATATACTTACTATAAATAGTACATAGTAATTAATTATATTATACACGGGGGATGCAACTTGATTATCTACATAGAGAGAGAATGAGAGATAAGTCTCCAGAGCTCAAGGAAGAGTTTTATAGATGCTAGCTAGAATTTCTATCATTAGTCATATAAATGGCATGTATTTACTATTTATGTCTATAGTCATATGATTATAACAATTATAATATGGGTTGCCATATGAGAAAGCAGATGAAATTTTACCGAATTTTATTCAAAGTTTATAGGTAAAAATCTCACTTTTTGCAAAAACAAGTAATGTGAATGGGCAATTTTATCCATAAACTTTGGTTATTCATAAGTCATGTGACAAAATCTGGAAATTTCATTTAAATTACTAAAAGTGAAAAAAAAAATCAAAAATTGTGCACTTATAATGATAATTTTAATAATTGTGCACCAATAATGAAAATATCACTAAATGTTTGGTCGAAAGTAACAATAACTCTTATAATACTTATAAATGTGTTATCATATGAGAATTAATAGATGACTATAATATATATATTTTCATTAACTAATATTGTATACTTTTTAAAACATAATATAATATTTGCATCTTAAAAACAGTTGCAGTTAAATGATGAAAAATGGCATGTGTCCTCATGTCAAATTTACCTTTCAATTAAACCTCCAACTTGCATGGATGGGTTACATGTACATTTCTGCACATTTAACCTTTGATATATTTTAGGTAAATGAATATAAAATTCAACAATAATGTGCTGGAAATATTTGGAAAACACACACACACACAATATATATATTTGTCCCCTACCAATATTCTAGTATATCTATATACTTTGTCCCACTGATCATTTAAATTGGTATGTGCGCATGCCGAGTGTGAGAATGAGAGGCGTTCACGTGATGGCTCATATGGACAGTTGTTAATTCATAGTGTGTGCGTGTGATACACGCACACACACACACATATATATATATATATATACACACACACCGCGCAGATAGTGCTTCTCGTACGATCATCATTAGGTACGTATAAATGCACCACACAGTGTTCGGAAATCACCACTAAGTGTGGTGCGGTGTGGTGCATTTCTGCATACCTAATGGTGAATTCACACCGACCGCACGGGAAGTACTGTCCGCATTTGATGACGAGAGAAACTATATGTAGTCGCTATTCAAGGGTGTGTAATAAGTAAACTCAGTTTTTGTGTAATAACTAGCAAATCACACGAAAGATATAAATTGTACCCAAAAAATCTTATGCAAAGGATTTGATCAAGAGAATGCTGACAAAAATTGAATTTGTAATCTTCAAGTATGAGAATCATGCTTCAGAATTATACATTTTAGTAAATATACTCTAAAATGTCTTTTATGATCATTTTGAGATAACTAACGGCCTTTGTGAGGCAAATTATATAATGCATCATGATCTACTTTGTAAGGTAAATTACTGATAAATTACACTAAAAATAAACATATATATTAATAGTTTACCTTAGCTCGTTGGAACCCCGAATAATGATTGCCTTTGTGGTGTATATATTGCTTTTGTGATTAAATTTTTGGACTTATTAGGCCATAATGAAACACTAATGTATTGCATTATAATACTTATCCTTGTATGACAAGTTTGAACCGACGATATGTTCCTAATTTCCTACCTAACTTAATGAAATCACACAACTTACACAAGATTGTCTTCTTATGTAACTTTTCAAAATGTTACATTATTAATTTATAGGAAAGTAATTTAGTTTATTTAATTTCTTTGATTTATAAGAAAGTCCGTAGCCAATGCTTAAAAATGCGCTATAATTAGGTGAAGCAATGGGGTAAACTCGCTTTGTGATTCTAAATGGGTAAATCAGCTTAGATTGCCATAACAAATTGGCCTTAAACTGAGAACTCTCTCGAGGAGTCGAATTTGAATTTTATAAGTTTGAACTCCAAATTTAAGGATCCCTACTCTCGAGACAGGTGAAGGAGATAAATTGCAAGATATGTCTTAAGTGATCGACTTACATGTTTACTAAACCTCCACCTTACATGGGTTACATGGATGATCCTATACTAATTTTATCATTTATACTATAAGCTTGAGTTGGATCGGAAACGATATGAAACTATGATGGATATATAGATTAAAGTAGTGCTTTAGTAGAGTGGCTGTAATACAGTGGTGGAAGCTAAGTTAGGTTGATTAGTACTATAAAATATTTTCCATTTTCCCACTTTTTTTTTATTCTCCATTTCCTTCATTTTCTATTCTCCAGAAGTTGACTAATTAATCTTTAAAAAAAACTATGCTATATAGACATTTGGGAGAATATTTTATTGTTGAACTTGTTTTCCATCTTCCTTCCAAAGAAAGATGGAAATTTTTTGGAATAACAGAAAATGATAAAAATTTTAAAAATGAAAATAATTACAAACTGATTTTTATTTTTATTGTTACAATTTTAGTCGATTCCTTAAAAAAAA